GCCACATCCCCGACTTTGCCCCCACAGCCACCGTGCCCTGTCCCGGGGGTCTCTGACACCCGGTGTTACACAACCGGGGGCAGTGCCAGGCCCGGCTGGGGCCGGTGGTTGAGCATTAACCTGGGAGAAACCGGTTTCACTGAAGTCCCCAGAGGCTAAATATATCTCTGTTTGTTTTTCTTTGCCCCAAAAGAAACTTATCTTGCAGATCCCCATCCCGGAAACTAACTGGCTAAAGACTTAACAGATTTTTTTGTTAAGCACTTCAAAAGGCTGCTGGCAGCGGCAACTGGCTGCGATGCTCCCAGGGACACAAATCCCGACTGTCTGGAGATGCTCGCACAGACAAAGCCACTCTCTGTGCCAGAACAGGCAGCACGGGGCTCACAGGAGCACTTACAGAAGTGGCCTCACATGAAACCTTGCAGGAGTTGTGCGTGTCTAAAAGGAAACTGCTGAAACACACCACAGACACAATTTTATGATATGAGAAAACACATTTTTACTGTTCAGAAGTCTTGGACAGACGTGGAGTAAAAGATTCAGGGCATCACATCAGCATCCTGTTCCAAGTACCTGAGAAGTTGCAACTGACCAACCCACAGGGACAAAAGGATAAAAAGGAGTTTCTCCCAAGGGACAATGTCCAGCCTGCGATCCCCTGGGTCATCATCCACCTGGGGTGCTGATCACACAGTGTGGAGCCTGGGCAGGAGCTGCCACCCTTTGACTCACCTGTGGGCACTGCCCTCCCAGCCCAGGCAAACACTGACACTGTCCCTTCCAGGACTCACCCACACCTGGCAGCAGCTCTTGTTCTTTGGCAAAAGGATCAGACACTGAAATGTCTCTACAGAGACAGCAGCAGCAGGGAGAGGGACACAACATGACTCAGGAGCTTGTCCGAGCTGGCTTACAGCAGAAAAACACTCAGGGAAGAGGATCCAGCTCCATGTCCTTCCCTCTTGCTACTCAAAACATGCCCAGAGCCACCCCACAACAATCTGGCAGTGCTACTTCCCACTGTGTGAGACACTCTCCCTTTAGTAGCAGCTTCCCACGCTACCTTCTTCCTCCTTCCCATAAGGCATCTATGACTTTTGAAGATTTTTTTTCTTCTTTTAAAAAAATCAGCAAAACTAGCGACCGTGGGATGTCTGGAACCGCCAGTGCTGACTGCAGCACATCCAGCAGTGAGGATGAAATCTGCTACAAGCACACTTTTCTTCAGCCAGCAGCTCAAACTGGAAGTGGCCAACTTGAGGCCACCAACGCCGCAGAGACGCTGAGCAGGCAAGAAGAGCGCAGAGGTGCGTGACAGCCCACGGCACACAGAGCCGTGCCAGACTGCAGCCTTGTTCCAGTGTCAGGCTCTTCGGGGCTCCAAAAGGCACAGCCCCACCTGCCCTACCTCAGGGGGAAGGAGAAGTACTTGTTCCCTGACTTGCAGCGGATTTGCTCCCATTGGATACGCAGCAGGAATTCTGACTCCTCGAACCCATCCACAATGTCCTGGAAAACAGAGGCAGGAGTCAGTACCAGTGGGGTGGATCTGCCGAAGGATGGAGTCGGCAGCTCTCTGTCTGAAGGAAGTCACAGATAAAGCCATTTGCAGCTGATTTAACTCACAGATTTAACTCACACTCCCCCCTAAAGCTTCTCATCTTTCATCCCACTGAAGTTTGTCCTGCTTGGTTGAAGAGAATGTCCCACTCTGCCCCCCTGGCAGGGAGATGTGGATGCAATCCAGCTCTGCCCTCCCCCTGTCCTCCACACCACCCCACGTCTGTGGGGACACACCTGGAGCTCCCGCAGACACTGCCCTTCCAGCCTGCCAGCCAGGTCCCCCACACACCAGGCCAAGCTGATGTGGAACGATGGGTCCTGAAGGCAAAACAAACAGGGGTAAGAATGTGAGGGCTAAAGGAGGCTTTGGTGAATGCACAGAGCCAGTGGGAGGGCTGGCATGATGCTGCTGCCCTGCCTGGGATCACAGAGGCTGGAGGATCCCAAAGCTGGGAGTCCCCTCTGCCAACTCACCAGCTGCAGAGCTGCTATGGACAGTGCTGGAGGCAAGAGGAGTCCTGGCCTTCCCACCCCAGCCCCTTTGGACTCCATGGGCAAGGCTGCTGGTTCCCAGCCTCCCTGTGCTCAACTCTGCAGCTGTGGGAGAATCTCTCAGCACTGGTTTTGGAGCAGGTACATGTGTCACTGCTGAGTAATCCACATGAGCTCCCTGCTCAGCTCCAGACACAGACAAACTGGGCTCTGGCCCTTCAAAATCTCAAACCTGTTCCCAAAGCTAGTATTAAGCAAAAAGGCTGGACTAATGCCCAAGAAAGCTGCCCAAGGCAAAGACACAATGATAGTGCCCATTCCAGCCCTAGGGTTGTCCTAGGATAGAATGGGCACAGCAGGGCAGCCACTGCAACTGGCTCCTGTTTATTTGAGTGAACATCTCACAGGGAACCAGCCAGCATGTCCAGACTGGCAGGGAAGCAAGCAGGAACGCCTCACCTTGTAGAATGTGGGAAGGTCAAATTCCTCTAGAACGCCATCCACCTCCGAGACCAGCTCCAGCAGCTGGAAATGTCCAGCAGAGACCTCCAAGCCAATGAAGGTCCTAAAGAAAGGCAAGGAGAGACTGCAAGCACTGTTTCATGCTGCAGAAAGCACAACTCTAAGAATACACAGCCCTTCATTCCTACCAGGCAGGTTCCCTACTCCCTAACACAGGGAAATCTGAGGAATGCCAGGTTTAAGCATCCAGGGATGCTGATTGTATTCTGAAGAAAAACAGAAGATGTGGTAGCAGGGAGAAGCAGGGCTGAATGATAAACCATGTAGATTTACTAGATTAACCTAGTACATTTTGGGACATGAAAATCAGTTTTCTAGGCAAAGGATGCACTGGGTGGGAATTTCAGCAGAGTGTTGTGCCCATGAAGGAGCTGCATTAAAAAAGTGGAAGTGGCTGGAGAGGCTTTGTAATGTGAGAGGAAGCAGGGAATGGGAAGTACCAGGCTGGAGAGATGTGACAAAGAAGTCAGCACCTCCTCCAGGACTGTTGGGATGACACTTTCTAGAGTCATTGAGAGTCATCATTTCTTCCCTTCAAAGAGGGAAGCAGAAGATTCAAGTGTCACTCAGGTTCCACATCCACTTTTTCCTACCCATGACTATCTTGGGCTGCCTTTCCCACCAGATTCAGCAACTTTCTGCAATTTTAATCACCTTTGCTTTGACATTCAAAAAAAACTTAATTGCATTCCGTTGGAATCAGGCTTCTGAGCTGACGCCCAGGAGAATTAGCACCATCTCAGCTATTTCTCTCCAGCTCTTGGAAGACCTGCACTACAATTTCACAACTGGCACTGCTGCCAAAAGAGGTGGTCCCACTCTGCTCGCCCCAGGCTGTGCACACCAGCTAATGAGACCAAAAGCTTGCAGAGAATCAGTGCCAAAGCCAAAAATTTGTACAGATGGCTGGGGAAAGGTGTGAAATGTCTGGAGATGATCCGGAGGTGATCACATACTGTGTTGTCACACAGCCCAACCGTGGGACAGGCAGGGTGACACGTCCCATCCACCCAGCACCTTGCTCAGACTTCTCCTGGGGCAGGCAGGCTGCTCCACTGTGCACTCACCTGGTTTTGTTCTGGTTGGTGTAAACCTTCACTTGGTCAGCCAGGCAGAAGAACCTGAAATAAGAAAGATCCTCTTTCAGCTGCACAGAAAAAAAAATAAAAAACGACAAGATGATGAGGGGCCAGGATTGTTACCAAGTGATGGAAAGATACAGGCAAATATATGCTGCAATTGGACCAAATTGGTGCAACCAGAACCTCTTGGGGCTCAAATTAATTAATTCCCCTCCTGTTTTCAGCCCTCCAAAGCCTGCACAGTGACAGAAACCCTGAAGCAGGTGATGCTCAGCCAGTGCCTGAGCCAGATGTAAACAACAAAACCACCCATGGTTTAGAGGATGGCACAGCTCTGGCCTGATCCTGGAAAGCCAAAACCTGACGTGTCTGGTGCCAGATCCCGAGGCACTGAGGAAAAATCCCCAGGGCTTTAATGTGCTGCCAGCACCAGCCCCGGGACACCGTAGGGCGTGGATGCTGGCAAAGCACGGGTCCCGAGGGCAGGGGAGGGTGTGCGGAGCGCCCCGCCGGGGCTCTGCCAAACCCACCTGTGGAAGGCGGCCAGGCGCTCCCGGAGGCAGCGGACGAAGGGCTCGATCCAGTGGTAGCGCAGCACCACGCACTGCGAGAGGCTCACGTGGAACTCCTCCATGGCAGCCAGCGACGGCACGAAGGTGCGGGCGTGGGACACGAGCAGCTCCAGCAGCTCCAGGAACTCCTCCTGGGCAGTGTCTGCGGGGCAGCGCCGTCAGAGGGGCCGCGCATCCCCGCCGGGACCGGGGGGCAGCGGCTGAGCTCCGTCCCGCCATCCTCCCGGACCCAGCTCGATCCCTGTCCCGGTCCATCCCAATCCCGGTGCCGGTACCTACAGGGCAGGTAGACGTGCGTGGCCCAGTTGCCCCGCTCGTGGGGGAAGCCTCGCACGCGGCCGCCGTGCCGGGAGCTGTCATCGCTCACGGCCTCATCCGGGTCCGGGTCTCCGGGCAGGCCGGCGGGCACGGGCAGGCGAGGGCGGCCGGCGCTGCGGGACCGGAGCGGGGTGAGAACGAGGAAGAGGAGGAGGAAGGCCGCGCGCTCCCGCCGCCTCCCGCGCGCTCCCGCCGCCGCCACCCCACCGCACCCACCTGGCCCCGGGGGGCCCCTGCGCGCCGCCGCCCCGGCTCCCCCCTTCCTGCTCCTGCTCGTGCTCCTGCTCCTCCTCGGAGCTGCTGTAGCCCACCAGCGCGGCGCTCATGGCCGCGGCCCCGCCGCCACGGCCCGCTCCCCGCTGGCAGCGCAGTTGCCGGCGCGGCCCGGCAGGGGGCAGCACCCGCCGCGCCCGCCCCGCCTCCTCCGCCGCCGCCGCGGCCGCCCCGGCCCGGCCCGCTCCGCTCGCTCCGCTGCGCTCCCGCGCGCCGCTCGCTCCCTTCCCTCCCTCCCCTCTTCCCTCCCGGCTCCCGCCTCCACGCCAGCGCGGGGCTCGGGCGCAGCGCGCAGGCCGCGGCCCTGCCGCCGGCGAGGCCTCCTCCCGCCGTAGGTGATCGGCCCGGCCGCCGCCGCCGCCCTTTGTGTGCGCCTCGCCGGGGCGGGGGCGGCCCCGGGCGGCAGCGACCCCCTACACCCGACCCAGCGCGGGGCCTCCCGGCGCGGCGGCGGTGAAGGCCTCGGGGCGCCGTCCCCGCGCTGCCAGCGGGGCCGCCCGATGGGGAGCGGCGAGCGGCGGGCCGGGCCTGGCCGCGGGCTGCGGCGGCGGCGGCTGCTGGTGGCCTGCGAGCTCCCCGGCCGCCCCCGCGCCCCGCGGCCCTGAGGCGGCCCGGGCCCGGCGGGAGCAGCCGGGCCATGCCGAGCAGGCCGCCTCGCCAGTTTGAAAGTACCTCTGCGCTCCCGACCGCGCTCCCTAAATGGTTGTCGCTTCCCACCTCCCACGGAGGGATGAGTTAGGCTGGAGCTGGCGCCGACGCGGGCCCCCGCGCAGAGCCCTCGGTAAGCCAAGGTTGGTATCGCTCTCCCCTGCGAGGGCCACAGGCTAACCCTCCCCGTTAGCCCGGGATGCGCCGCCGCTGGGTTCGTCCTGCTCCGGTTCGCGGTGTGTGCGGGGGAAGGTGGCGCCCGGGCTGGGCTGAAGTTTGGTGTCCCGCCGAGCACGGTGCAGGTACCGGCGCTGCGAGCCCTCGCTCCGTCAAGGTGAGCTCTGTAGGAGAAGGAGAGCATCCTACGTGCCGGCAGGTCTGCGATGGTGCCTCTGGGGGCTTTACTGCCCCAAACTGCTGGAGCACAAAATAATGAAGTGTCCCCACAGTCAGCCCAACCTGAGCTGTGGGGCTCAACCCAGTCTCAACTGAGTGCCAGTGGAGTTGGGGATGCTGAGGAGTGGGATTCTCTGGTGGTCTTTATTGCATAGTTTTAAACATAGAAAATATTCTTGTGGTAGACCAAGGATTTCCTTACCCTGAGGGCAGATGTTTTGATGCAGACATGGGGATGCTCTCAAGGCTCAGGAGTGTTGGTGGCTGCTGCTCACCAGGGCTTGCACCTTCTTCTCTCTTGAGGTGTGTTGACACTGCTGCTATCTGCTGCTCGCTGCTGGGTCTTATTCTTTTCTAAGCTGGTGCCAGGTTTTATTGGACATCTCACTTTTCAGTGAGCCTGATGATGCTCTGTAGCAAGGCCAGGCTGCAGCTCTGGCATAGGTTGGTTAGCTTCAGTGTAATTTTATTACATGGTTTGGTAGGAGGTTCAGCTAAGCCACTGCTTTAACTCTACTTTTATCTTCACAGAGTGATCCCTGTTTCTGAGGATAGGATAACACTGAGGGCAAATATTCTCCTGAGCTCCCTGGCACTTCCATTCTACAAGCGCGGCCCAGAGAGGGGGAAATGCTTTGAATGCATCCCTTGGGTAATGGGCTCGATGTCCAGGCTGCAGGAGGAGCAGAACCGTTTCACAGAGCTGTTTCAGCTGGGGTGGAATCATGTTCAGATGTGTAAAATCTTATCCAGTAGCTTCTTGATTGCAGTGTTTGGTGCATAGCCTGTGCAGAGAGATCAATGTTCTGGGACAGTGCCACAGCAGTGCTGGAGATCCAGTGACCACTCAGGGCTGAGCTGAGCAGGCCCTGGGCAGTTGTGCTGCCTCTCGTGAGAGTACAACACCCAAACTGTGTCCAAGCTGAGCCCAGCCCTTTCCAGGCTGAGAACTCCTTGTCCCAGGCCCTTTTCACAGCAGCAAGTAGAGCTCTGGTTCCACTGGCTTCCTGGTAGTTTTTCAGGGATGCAGGAGAGTTTTCTTAGAGAGCCATGGGGGAAGGTTGATGGAGAATTGCCCAGGTTTCTTCTAACACCTGACATAAGCTGTCTTCTTTCTTGCAGAGAGAGCTGCTCCCTGGGTTGATTCCTGTGCCCCTTGCAAGTGTGAGCACGTCGCAGCTAGCACCGAGAAGATCCTCCTCTCCTCTTCAAGGCACTTGCCTCTGCCTCCTGTTCCTTTGTCCAAAAGAAGGAAAAGCCAGACCAAATCAGTCCATAAAGAACGTGTGCTGGTCTAAGGAGGAGGCTCTGGAGTCCTTTCACCACTTTTCTTCCCAGGATCCTGGCTGTGGGCTGGATTTTCTGGTCTCAACTTGAGGGGATCATTTACAGGGAATCAGGATCTCAGAATCTTTGTGTCTTGCTTTTACTTGAACCCTTTCACTCGGGAAGCTGAAGCTATCACTGCTAAAATCCCATTTTTTTCCCCAAGCATGTCAGAAAGCTGGCAGCAGCAGCAGCAGCAACCACAGCAGCCGCCGCCACCGCAGCAGCACCACGCTGGGGCAGCCGCCCTCCCAGAGCACTCCATCCCTCCCAGCACTGCTGACAACCCCCTGGGCTGTGCCGTGTACGGCATCCTGCTCCAGCCAGACCCTGGACTGCAGCACCACCAGCACGCCCCCATCCAGGCTGGAGAGCCGTCCCACAAGTGTGGTGTGTGTGGCCATGACCTCGCCCACCTCTCCAACCCCCACGAGCACCAGTGCTTGCCAAGCCATGACCGCTCTTTCCAGTGTACCCAGTGCCTGAAGATCTTCCACCAGGCCACCGACCTCCTCGAGCACCAGTGCATCCAGGTGGAGCAGAAGCCCTTCGTGTGCGGGGTTTGCAAGATGGGTTTCTCCCTCCTGACCTCGCTGGCGCAGCACCACAACGTCCACAACGGCAATGCCATGAAGTGCTCCATCTGTGAGAAGACCTACAAGCCTCCCGAGGTGGAGCATCCACAGCCTCTCGACCCCTCGGAGAAGCCCTACAGCTGCTCCATCTGTCAGAAAACCTTCAAGCACCTCTCGGAGCTGTCCCGGCACGAGCGCATCCACACGGGCGAGAAGCCGTACAAGTGCACGCTGTGCGACAAGAGCTTCAGCCAGTCCTCCCACCTGGTGCACCACAAACGGACGCACAGCTCCGAGCGGCCCTACAAGTGCACGGTGTGCGAGAAGACCTTCAAGCACCGCTCCCACCTGGTGCGCCACATGTACGCGCACTCGGGGGAGCACCTCTTCAAGTGCAACGTCTGCGAGCTGCACTTCAAGGAGTCCTCGGAGCTGCTGCAGCACCCCTGCACGCCCAGCGGGGAGCGGCCCTTCCGCTGCGGGGAGTGCCAGAAGGCCTTCAAGCGCCCCTCGGACCTGCGGCAGCACGAGCGCACGCACAGCGAGGAGCGGCCCTTCAAGTGCGACCTGTGCCAGATGAGCTTCAAGCAGCAGTACGCGCTCATGCGCCACCGCCGCACGCACAAGGCCGAGGAGCGCTTCAAGTGCAACCTGTGCGAGAAGGGCTTCGTGCAGCCCTCGCACCTGGTGTACCACCAGCACGTGCACGGCATAGAGAACCTCTTCAAGTGCAACGTGTGCCAGAAAGGCTTCAACCAGTCCTCGGAACTGCTGCGGCACAAGTGCGTGCAGAACGCGGAGCGGCCCTTCAAGTGCGCGGTGTGCAACAAGTCCTACAAGCGGGCCTCGGCTCTGCAGAAGCACCAGCTGGCCCACTGCGCCGAGAAGCCGCTCAAGTGCACGCTCTGCGAGAGACGTTTCTTCTCCTCCTCGGAGTTCGTGCAGCACCGCTGCGACCCGGCCCGCGAGAAGCCCCTCAAGTGCCCCGACTGCGAGAAGCGGTTCAAGTACGCGTCGGACCTGCAGCGGCACCGGCGCGTGCACACGGGCGAGAAGCCCTACAAGTGCTCCTCCTGCGAGAAGGCCTTCAAGCAGCGCGAGCACCTCAACAAGCACCACAGCGTGCACGCCCGCGAGCAGCAGTACAAGTGCATGTGGTGCGGGGAGAGGTTCCTGGACCTGGGCCTGCTGCAGGAGCACAGCGTGCAGCACACGGCCGAGGGTGCCTACCAGGTGGCCGCCTGCTTGCCGTGAGCCTCCCGCCCCGCCGTGGCTTTCAGCTTGCATGGGACGCTCCCGAGCCTCAGCCTTCCCTCTCCAGCCTCCAGGGAGTGTGGGGGAAAGGGGGGGTACAGTGTGCGGGCAGGTAAACTTTCCTCTGGCCTCAGATATGCCGCCTGTATGGAAGTAGCAACAGACGACGTGGACCTCTCAAAGGGGTGGAAAGGAAAGGAGGAAGGGGGAGGGAGGAAGCTGTGCCTGTAGATGCCTGGTGTTCCCTGGACTGTAGTTCGTGCTGTACCTGCAGTTCCAGTCCTGGGAGCTCAGCTGTCTGTTGCAGGCACCAGCTCTTTGTGTGCAGCCTTTTTTTCCCTGTCCTGCCTGGCAGGGTTGGTGGGGAGGATTGGGTGACTCTCCTTCTGGAGAGGGTTTAGAAGCAAGGCAGAGCCAGCCCTCCCTTCTCCCAAGGAGTGCTGCTTGGCATAGAGATGGCAGGTTTCTGCTGCTGGGGTCTCCCAACTTGGTCCAGGCTCAGTTGAGGGCATCCTTTCAGATCATTAGTGTTCATTGACTGCCCCAACCTCCCCTGCTCTCCCTCCTTCTAGAGTGTTGAAAGGGAAAAGCCATGGGGCTCCACAGCTCCAAAAAGCACTTTGGCATTGCTGCTTTTGCAGTGGCTGGCTGTCACACTCTGCAGGGGTCTGGGTGAGCCTGCCTGCCCCCTGTCCCTGGCAGCTGCACAGGGAGCTGTAGGAAGCTGCCCCCAGAAAGCATGGCAAGGAGCACTGGGACAGTCTGCCTGGGAGGAGTCTTGGATTCTCCCTCTCTGGAGACATTCAGAACCCACCTGGACATATTTCTGTGTAACCTGCTTTAGGTGACCCTAACTTAGCAGGGGGGTTGGACTAGATAATCTCCAAAGGTCCTTCCAGCCCTAAAGTTCCATGGTTCTGTTACAGCATTCATTCCCTGCTCCCAACCAAAAGCCTGCCATTCCAGAGCTGATCCCAAGGCACTTCCCCTCTCCTCCCTTGCCTCCAGCCCCCTGGGCACCCCTTGGGCTGACTGTGGTACCTCCAGCAGGGTCAGGCAATGGCTGTCACAGCTCCAACACTAAGGGGTGAGATGAACACTACAATAACCTACAGCTGCAGAGGTGTTGCCATGGCCAGCATAACCCACACCAGAGTGAGTGAGTCAGGAGAATCCTTTATGGCCTGCAGGCTCAGCTCCATAGGGAAAGCAAAGTTAGCAGTGGGTAAAGGAGAAGTCTATTTTTTCCCCTCTTGCAGGAGTCCTGTTTTACCCCTTTGCCCTTTCTTTACCTCGTCTGTATTCTTCAGGTTTTGCACACTTCTTGTAAACATCACTTCAAAATAAATCTCCCCTAGCAAGGTTGATGCAGCCTCAGGTGTTTTCATCTGCAGGAATTTGCAGGCTTCTCATGTCCAGGAGATCCATTACACGTCAGTTAGATGCCTTGGAGGTTGAAGATGTGCCTACTAGGTTGTCCCCCAGCCTTCCCCCTCCATCTTTGGAGATATTGAGTGTCCATCTGTGGAGATATTCAGGCCCTGGCTGGACATGGTCCTGAACAACCTGCTGTAGCTGACCAGTCCAAGCAAGGAGTTGGACCTGGGGGTCTTCAGAGGTCCCTGCCAGCCTCAGCCCATCTCTGCTGTTGGCTGGTGCTGCTGTGAGGTTGCAGTGAGCAGCCAGGGTGTTGCCCATGTGCTGCACAAGGACAAGGTTATGGCTGTTGTCCATGGCAAGTGTAGACAGATTAGCCTTGCAGGACTGGGCCTGCATCCCTGTTGGGGGACACTTGTCTGAAAGGTGGAGAAAGGCTTTAGTTTTCCATTTCCAGCACAGTGTGGGGGAACAGGGTGCATTTTGAGGGGCTGGGACAGGGAAGTGACAGGGTAGACCCTGGGGCTGAGTCTTCTTCATGTGCAACTTAAAGGTGATTAAAACAGACTGTGCTCTCTGCTGCCCAAGGAAGAGGGACCCATGCTGGTTATCTTACTTTGTGCTGCCTCAAAGATGTAGAACTTCCTACCAAGTTTTCCATCTGTGTTTCTTTTTCCTCTTCTTTTTTTTTGTTTTACCTTTTTTTTTTATAAAAGCAGTTTGTTAAAATTCATTAAAAATACTGTATAGTTTAACTTGATGTCATACTGAATCTTTAAAAAAACAAAAGAGATGTGGTAACTTGGATTTTTAAAGAGCTCTTTAGTTCTAGGTAACTGGTTTTTGCTGTTTAATATGTAGTAAGTTCAGTGTATGCTTTACTGTAGGAGTAAAAGAGAGTCCAAACAAAGGAAGGCTAATCCTGTCTTTGCAGAAGGGCTTGGTGGTGATGGAGGCTGCAAATGTGGGACCAGATGAGGGCTGTGGCACCTTCCTGAACCCTTGCTCTGTTCCTGCCTTGGGCCATGGCTCCTCTGCTCTTTGCCAGCACAGCTGCCAGGGGTTCAGTGGTCACTGGCAGCCAGGATCAGTGCCCAGGGCTCAGAGCTTGCAGAGAGGCTCAGCTTTGTCAGGAGGGGATTGTGAGATAAAGTCAGCTGCAGCCTCCATGGGCTGTTGTGGCTCTGCTGTTTCCTTGTAGAGCAGCAGAGGAGGGTTTGGAGGAATCATCAGCTGGATCAGCTGGCTGTGCCCTGCTCTGTTCCTCCCCAGGAGCCTGGGTGACTGCCTGGGTGACTGCCTGGCACCTGGGGCAGAGGAGGGTGGTGCTGAGCCCAGACACAGCTCCACACTGTGCAGAGCCATGGGGCTGCCAGGTGCTGTCCCCTTGTGCAGCTGGACACTGGGACTGTTGGGGGTGTTTCTCTTCTGCTAAGCAGCTGGGAAAGCCCTGGGTATCCCAGTGAGGCTCTGCCTGGGATGTGTCAGTGGCCAAGCAGTGCCCTGGGCAGAGAGACTCATCTGGGCTGTGTGCCTGGGACTCCAGGCCAGAGAGGGGATGCTGTGTGGAGTTTGGCAGGGGTGAGCCCAGGTCCAGGTCATCAGCTGGTCAATAGGTGCCTCCAGGTTCAAAAACATCATGGATCAGGATTAGAACATCATTATTAGGCTGGCTGTGAGTCCATGGTGATTCAGTCTCTTGTTTCATTTGCTGCCCTGCAGGAGCCCAAACCCAGCTGAAGCCCATAGAGAACATGCAGCTGGAGCTTGTGGGTGGGGTGGGCACTGAGTGGCCACAGAGAGCTTTGGGTATATTTTTATAGGAGCATTTTCCAGCTGGAAGCAGCAGTGTTGCCTGCAGGGGTGGGGGGAGCAGCTCCATCTCCATTGCTGTGCCTTTAGGTCAGGTTGTGGCCAGTGAGGTGGGAGGAGGTGGAAGCAGCAGGAGGCACAGGAGCAGCACTGTGCTGCTGTGTGGGGAGACACAGGCTGGCCTGGGGGCTGCTGTCCCTGGGGCATCACACTCAGGGCTCTGCTCACTGCTGGTGTTTCCTTTTCGAACCAAAGAGCAGCTGGGGCCAAAGCCCGCTGGGGAGTGAACCATGTCTGTACTCTGTACCTGTTGCACTTCACTTCTGGTGTTTATTTCAAGCAACTTTCAGGCTCCAGCCTCTGCTTGGCCTCTTGCATTCCTCACGGCCCTGCAGCACCCCAGAGAGCTCCTGTGCTGGAGCTGCTGTGCCATCAGCCCTGTGGCAAGTGCACAAGGCAGTTCAGGGCCTGGTTGCAGCCCAGTGAGGATGCTGAGGGGCTGGGTAGGGGGTTCCTCCCAGAGGATGGTTCTCCTTGGCAGGCAGGCTGAGCAGGTGGAGAGGAGGGTTAGGTTGGGCAGAGGTTGTGTGGGTGTTCTCCAGGACATAAGTCCTGCTGTCTAGGGCTGCTGTTCCTCTGGCTTCCTGGGTTCAGGAAAAGGCAGTCTGTAACCAGGGCTTCTACTGATCTTGACTTGCCCTGACCCTACCAACAGGATGCCTTTAGCTGTCTCAGCCCCTTCTCTTCCACAGTTTATACTTTTAAAGGACATTCTCAGCTTCTTTTCTTTGTTCAGTTCTTTATTTGTAAGCAGTGCTTTGTTTTTCATTCCTTCTTCCACGCTGATTGTGAAGTCTCTTCCTTCCTTCCCACCTCCCTGTGCTCTCCCCAGCCCCAAATTCTTTTCCCAGCCTGAGGCTGGATCCTGGTGATACCCAACCACTGATGGTGAGATCAGGTGTTTAGGACCTGAGTCTTGCTGCTCCTTGCCCACAGCAGGCCATGCATTTCACTGGGCATGGGCAGTGCCTGTGACCTGGAAGCTTGGCATGGGATGCTGCCCATGCTCTGACAAGTGAATCCAAGCCAGGACCAAGAGCCAGAGCAGAGCTGCAGGAAATGGGGACTGGGTTGGGAGCTGCCATTTCCATCTCCAAGGCTGGGGATTAGGTCAGTGAAGGACTGTCAGACATTCCTGGGAGGTGTCCTGGCACTATGGTGGGCTCAGTGCAGTTGGTTCCCCTGGCAGTGCTGTGGAGCAGCTGTGTGCATCAAGCAGGCAGCTGAGCTGAGTTAGCTGTGGCAGGGACACCCCTGGGACCATGGGATGCTCAGGTGGCTGTGCCAGCTCTCTGGTGAGCAGATGCCATCTCTGCAGTCTGGGTGGGAAGATGTTCATGCTCTGGTCTCAGGGCCCATGTGCTGGACTGGGGGACAAAGGGGAAAGCATCCTCTGACAGAGTTTTGGGACCATCTCTGGGCACTCAAGCCTGCCCTTGCAGGGAGAAGAGAAGGGAGGAGAGCACTTTCTGCACTTCCTTGGGTATTTACCATCATTCTAGGCTGCAGCTGAAGCCTGACCATTACAGAATAGGCAAAACTCTCTTGTTATACTTCAGAGTTATACTCTTTCTCCATTGGGTGATGGTTTCAGCTGTGGGAAGGTTCCTGTGCATGCAGGTGAAATCTGAGATTCAGTAAGGACAGGCCAGTGAGGTTTGGGGCTGCAGCTGCCCCCAGGCTGGGTGAGCACCCAGCTCTCCCCAGCTTCCTCCCCAGCATCTCCTGGCAGCCACCCCTGGCACTCTGTGGATGTGAAGATGCTGCTCTCACAGCGTGCCTGGGATGCTCAGTGGGGAGAGCAGGAGCACAGGTGGCAGCTGGACCGTGGGCTTGTTTCTGAGTGCCTCCAAGTGTGGATCTGAGGGACTTCATGGTCAGGGAGACTCCTGGGCACCTCCTAACCTGTGCTCACGACTCCAGCAGAGTTCCCAGGGCTGTCAGGAGTCACAGCCAAGGTTGCTGAGGTTTGTGTGGCTTGCAGTGCCTTTAACACTGCTCTCCATGTGTTTCTAAGATGATACTCCATGTATGTGTGTATATATATTGTAATAACACATCCCGCTCTTCTGTGTGAGTGTCAAATGGTTTTGCTTTACTAATAAATTTATAGTTATTTATACCTTCCTGTGGGTGTGTGAGGTTTCTGGAGTGGAGGCCATGTGCCAAGCACTGCCTCCTCATCTGTCTTGCTCTGCTTGGGGTTTTTTTTTCATGTTTTCTTTCTTTCCCCTGAACTTTTTGAAGTAGAATTGATGGTTCACCTTCCTGGTAACCAGAAGATGAAAGGTATGAGCAGGGTACAGGCAGGGTATGAGCAGGCTCCCAGGGGCTGAAGACAAACACAAGCACAGTATTCTGAGTGGTTTTGCCCTTGCTAGAATTGGAATAATCCCTCCCCAGGGCAAAACTCCTCCCTGGGAGCTTCAGGGCAGGAGCAGGCAGGAGTCTCTTCCTGCCAGAAGGGAGCAGCTGTTCAGGGGGCAGAAACTGCTGCATGTTGTGCTCTGGGATCCTAGCCCCACATTCCACTCTTCAAGCTTTTCCTAAGGGTTTGTTTTGCATCTCCCATCCTGTGATAGCAGGAGAGGAGCCTGCTACAGAGCTCTGGGGCCAGGCACGATGGGTACTTGTTGCCCACCGGGATGGAGACACCCATGGAGCCAGGGAAGGAGGAAGCAGTCAGGGAGCTCTGGGCATGCAGCAACAGGCTGGACATGGGCCACAGAAGCCATGCTGGATTCCAGGGTGTCATTGTGGCCAAGATTAGGGGCAGTGGGAAAGGCTGGCAGTCGTGCAGGGCTGGAGGTAAACGGATCAAGCACAATTGGCAGGCTCAGCAAGGGGAGGCTTAGCCCAGCCCAGCGCAGATTTGCTGTGGTTGCTCAGGAGCTGGGGCAGAGCTGTGGGTGGAGCACCCTGGGCACATCACCTTGTGTCACCCCACGGGGCTTCAGCAGCTCCAGTGCTGCTCCTCTGCACATCCCTGCAGCCCCTGCCCATGGGTGAGACGCCTGCCTTCCCCACAGCGCTGCTGGTGAGTGCCTGGGATACCTTTGGGATTTTGAGGCTGCTCAAACCTGTTTGATTTTAGGGGTTTTTTTTGCAGCACCCTGCCACTCAGGACAGCTGAGTAATCCCATTTGCAGGCAGCACGGGGCTAATCCCCCAGAGCCCTGAGCCGATCGGGGTGGCTGGGGGGGCAGTGGCGAGCTGCAGTGGCCAGGGGAGCTCCCTCCGTGCCAAGGTGGCTGCCCAGGGAGGCAGTGCTGAGCCCGCGGGGGTAAGTGCCAGCCAGGGAGGCGAGGGAGGCTCTGCAGGGCCGCCTCTGCCATCACAGGGGGTTGGGGGATCCGAAACAGCCGGGGAGGAGCTGTACTGGTCCATGGGGAGGGATGCTGAAACGGCTGGGTGGTGTGGATGGAGGTTTGATCAGCTGCTGGGGGGAGGAAAGGCCACGGTGCTCCCTGCTCCAAATGGGGCTGTGGGTCTGTGCCCTTCTTGCTCTTGGAAATGAGACCAAGGCCCTTCGCTGGCTGGCAAAAGGAGCTGCCACAACAGGTGGTGGCACCGCTGGGTGCCTGCAATGCAGCAGGTGCATGAGGCTGCCAACTCTTTCAAGTCACTGAAGGCAAATCCTGCCTACTTATTCCTGTTTCTTTTAGCAGCCAGTTTTGTGGGAACCCACAAATGTTTCTGCCCATTTCTTGTTCAGATCTGCCAGAGGAGCAGCCTCTGCCCTCCACTTTCTTTCCCAGACCAGGGTCAGGGATATGGTCCAAGCTTTTACAGCTGCACAAGCTCAGGGTGAGGGAGGATGAGCCCTTGGCTGACAAGGGGGGCTCGCTGCAGCCTCAGGGGGCTTTCTCCAGGATTGTTGGGGCTCAGTTGTGTACATGGACCCTGGGCTTCTTTGGGATCTGTGAGAGTGGCAAAGCATGGGTGGAAATGCCTCTGCTGCAGGCACTGGAAGCTTTTCCTTGCTGTTCCCTGGGCATTCACAGCTCCTTAATCCGTTGTACCCAGTGAGAGATACAAGGTAATTAAATTGATTTCTGGCTGTCAGGCCTCAGGAGGTGTTTTACAGCCAGTCTGCCCAGCTGTGGGGAGAGTGCATGGAGGTGCAGGCAAGCAAAGGGCTGAGGGCACATCACACATCACCCTTCCTGCAAACCCCAGCCTAGAGTTTGGCTTTGGAGAGCCCCCAGTGAGCCATCTCAGGGGAGGTGAGGATATCCTGCATGCCTGAAAGCTGCATGAGGGGTTAATTCAGAGCCCAGTGCTGAGCAGCTCCCAGCCTCTTCCTGCTGCATGTGGGACTGGGATTGAAACCCCTGTGCAGTTTCCTGGCCAGGCTGGAAGGAGCTCAGGGCTCTGCTTCCTTTTGCCCTTCACAGGTATCACCTGGGGCTGTCTGAGGTGCTCTGAGCCCTTCATTTTGGGCAGAGTGGGGTATCTCTAGAGGGGCATTTTGGGCAGAACACAGCCCTTCAGAGGGGCAACAGCAAGTAACAGCAAATGTGCAGTGTCACTTGGCTCACTGGTGTTGTATCCCAGCCTGGAGCTGCTTCACAAAGGGAATGAAGGGACCCAAAAAGACCAAGCAGCCAGAGCTTGGACAGCTCTGCAAATTCTCACTTTTCCCTGCCCTATCACCATCACAGCAGCCAGTGCTGGGTGCCTTTGCTGCCCTTGCCAGAGCCCCCAGCAGGGACCTGCCCCAGCAGCCACCATGGCCCTGGGATGTGGCTGAGCAGGGTTGTTTTGTAGGGGCAGAAAGAGGGGATTTGTGTGTTGGAACATGAACTTCCTCATAAAAAAAAATCTGTTCAAATTACTGTTCAGCTTCCCTCAAATGAAAAATGATGGGGAGAGTAGAGCAGAGCATCACAGCTTCTGTCATCTATCTGCAATGGCTTCCTGATGAAGACAGGTGTGAAAATAAAACATCTAACTGAGGAGCTACCTTCAGGAAAAGCAAGAATAAAACAGAGTGTTTATTTTGCTCACAGTAGCAGTGAGGGATGAGGGTTGAGCTAGGTTTGCTCTGGCTGTGCTGCAGTGCCATGTTTCCCAAGCAGGACCTGGAGACAGAAGGACACCAAGGACCTTCTTGGGCTGCCCAGGAGCCAGCCCAGTGAGCAGCTGGTGTTTCCTGGGCACTGTGCACCCTGTGCTGGGCTCTGCCAGCTGGAGTGACCGGGTGGTGCCCCAGCCCCCGGTGCCCCACGTGGCGGAGGAGAGCCCTGTGCAGCCAGCCAAGGTGAGCAGGGAGCCAGCCTGGGGGGTGATGGGGACACCATGAGCCTGGTGAGAGGTGCCTGGTGCCTCTGCAGCCATCCCCAGCACTGCAGCATCCCCAGCAGGGAAGGGGGCCGGGATGCATTCCTGCTCTGAGCTGCTGGGAGCAGCAGGGGCACGGGGAGTCCCCGGGGTTTGCAGCACCTTTGAACAGGGACGATGTCCCCTGTGCCTCATTCTCTGACATCTCCTGCCTTTTGTCCTGAAGGCACCGACAGCAAAGGCCGCTGGCCCCACAGATGCTGCTGAGCGGGCACGCACAGAGGGTAAGCCCTGCAGGCTCAGGCTGCACATCAGTGCTCCTTTACCCTCCTGTCCACTCTTGCCTGGCCTCCTGGGGCTGCCAGAGTGCTGACAGGAGCTTGTCTTATTTTCCCCTGCTGCTATTGAAGAAACAGAAAAGAAAGTGACCTTTGTGGCTTCTGAGGACTCGAGTTCTGTGTTTGACAGGTACGGCTCCTGCACCCTTTGTGCAGCATGATTTGCTTGGAATTTTGCTCTTTGTTGGGGGCTGGATGCCTTGGATGGCATTCTCAGCTTGACTCATCCCTTTCCCTGGCAGTGTGGGGAGCAGTGTCCTCTCCTGGCTCTCCCATGGGCTGGAGAAGGTGATTCCCCAGCCAGCCCCAGCCCCAGGGCTGCAGGCACTCGGGAAGAGCTTCGAGACAAGCATCGACGTTGCTGATGAGGTAGGAGACAGATCTGGAAAATTATTTTGTAGGTTGGAGCTTCTGCCTCTTTTTACCTTTTCTTTTTCTCTTCTTATCACTCTCCTCGTGCTCACTGTGAGCACTAAACCTGCCCTGCATGGGTTTCTACCTTCATCCATCCCTGGGGAAAGGGCAGGTTTCCCTCCCCACTCAGAGGGGTGATCCCTATCTTGGGCTGTTGGGTTTTCAGAAAATATGTTTGGATTTTCAGACAGAGGTCCAGGTCATTGGGGATGAGGACGACGATGGTCTGGGTAAGGAGAGCTGGGAGTTTGTAGTGTGCAGCATCCTGGGACTCCCCATCCCACTCCCCGGCTGGTGACACGGGCACTATTGTCCCCTTGTGCTGGCTGATGGGGACACCTGGAGCTGCCAGCAGTGCAATTCCCCATGCCCACAGCAGCGCTCTCCTTGCAGAGATAACTCCCTTCGATGCCGAGGACGACGCGTCCGAGGGGGAGCTGGAGAGCGCCCCGGAGCAGTGGTGGGTGCCTGGCCGGGATGGGGGGATGCGGGAGGGCAGGAGGGCGCAGGATGAGCTGGGGGATGCAGGAGGGCAGGAGGGACCAGGATGAGCTCCCCAAGCGCGGCGCTCTCCCTGCAGGACAGGACAGCGGGTGCTCAGCTGGCTCTCACAGGGCTTCGAGAGGATTCTGCCGCAGCCAGAGGGGATGAAAAAGCCGGAGGTGAGCGCTGCCGAGCTCGGGAGGAGCGAGGGCTACCGGGCAGAGAGGAGAATGGAGCGAGCTCCCTGTCTCCATCCTCTGCACAGGCCAGCTGGGACCTTAGGCAGGAAAACCCAAGGGAATTCTGCAGAGCAAAAAGAGACCTCTGGGTGCTGTCCCAGCTTTCCTCCACCCTGATGCAGGGAGGACCCTTCCTTTGGGACTGGGGTCAGCAGCGCTGGTGTCTGGGTTAACTGCTTGTTGTCAGGGCAGTGGGACTGAAACCAGAGAGGGTGGTGTGTGGGGCTGAGCATGAGGGGATGAACATGTGGGGCTGAGCATGTGGGGATGAACATGTGCGGATGAGCATGAGGGGCTTAGCATGTGGGGCTGAGCATGAAGGATGAGCATGAGGGGATGAGCGTGTGGGGGTGAGCATGAGGGGCTGAGCATGAAGGTCCTCTTCCACTGGGGACATGTCCACCTGTTATAAACCTCCTGAGGCTGTGGGCAGTGCTTTGCCGCATCCATCCATCCATCCCTCTGTCCCTCTGCAGACAGAGCCGAAGGAGAAGAGTGAAGGCACGGTGGAAGGTGAGTGATCTGATCTGCTGGGCCTGGCCGGGGTGGGCTGCCCTCGTCTCCATGGCCGGGATTCCCTCTGTGCCAGGAGGGGTGGGGACACGGGTCCCAGGGGTGGGGACACAGGTCCTGCCATCCCTGCACAGCCCCACACAGCCTGTGTCCCCATGTGCCCATGTCCTCGCCCAGGCAGGCTGCCAGGGGAGCCCCTGAGGCCTGTCCCTCTGCGGGACAGGGCGACCCTTCCTGGCTTGCTCCACTTCCCAACGATTTATGACAGCTCCATTGCCAATCCTCCTTCTTTCCAATAAACCTGAGCAGGCACAGAAGGGACTAAAACCCAGGCGAAGTCGAAACCCAGCGCTGCAGGTGTTCCGAGTGCCCCAGGGGCAGCGAAGGCAGCGGCGGCCCAGGCCCGGCCGGAGCCAGGTGCTGCCCTGAGCCCTCAGCCCATGGCTATGGATGGCACCAGGTAACCACGGGGCACCTTCTGCCAGGCTCTGGGGCCACAGGGATGGCTGATGCCAGAGAAAGGCTCTGGCTGCCTGTTCTAGCAGGGGTTTCTTGTCTGCAGGATGTTCAGCTGGTTTGTCCAGGGGCTGGAGAAGGTGATGCCACAGCCGGTGACCAGGGAGAAGCAGGACACACAGGTAGGCTGACTGAGGGACAGGGAAAGAGCACAGGAACGCCATACCCCTGAGCAGCAAGGTGTCCCCTGCCCTGCAGATGTCACTAGGTCAGTGCTGGGACCTGCTGTGCTTTGGGCTGTCACCCAGTTCTGTCAAGAGAACAAGTCCCCATCACCTGCTTAGCTGATATAGGCCAGTGTTAGGCTTCTGTGCAGCAGGAGATCCCACAGCATGTGCTTTCTTTACTGTTCCCTTGCCTTTCTGTGCAGCCCTGGCTGGTGTCCAGGCTCTGGCATCTCATGCAGGTGTGGTCCCAGCTCTAAGGAATAGCAGCAGCATCTTTACAGAGCTCTCCTTTCCTTCTCTCGCCCCCAGGCAAACTCATTTATGTGCTCCTGAGCAGGATGCTCGTGCCCATGGCCAAACCATCCAGCTTGGCACAAAAATGGGGTATTTAGAGTGAAAGGGCTACCTGTACTGAAAATGGGGCATTGAGGGTAAAAATTAAGGGTTACTGAAAAAGAGCAGTGTCTCATGGTTTCCTTCTCCTCTTGACAGGGAGTGGCCACCGCAACCTCGAGTTCTGTGGAACAAAGTAAGTGATGGCTCCATTTCTCCATGATGGTTTGACTGCCAAGCTCGTTATTGGCTTGGGTTCCTGGGAAGAGGGATCACTGGCATCTTTATTACCTGGTCTGCCCTGGGTGCCACCTCAGGAGCCCCAGAAACCCCCCAGGGAAGCCAAGGGAGGTTGTTGACACTTGAGAAGAGGGAGCTGTTGCTGAGCTGTGTTGTGGGCTTGGTAAAACTCAGGCTGAGGGAGTGTCCTGGTGCAGCATCCCACACCCTCAGGTCCTGGGATTTAGTGCTGAAATCAAGGTCTGTCCTGAGCTGTGCTGGAGCTAGAGGGATTTGATCAAAGAATTACAAGGGAATTCAAACCTGCTGCTTTCTTTCTCTCCTTGGGTGTTTGCCAAGCCTGGTGTGAGATGTCTATGAAGGAACCCCAGCAAAACAAAATGCTGGGTTTAGATGGAATGGAATCTGCATGGTTGTGGGAAAACCTGCAGGGTTCACGCTGCTCTGTGCCTGTGGAGGGCACCAAGCACCAGCTCTGCAGGCATGGGGGGCTTGGCTCCTCACTGCAGCCACTTTAGGGATGCTGGACAAAATGCAGAGCCACAGTTGCCCCTGTGGATGGTCTGGGCAGGGTTACACACCCCTGTGCAAGCGCTGTCCCTTGAAAGGAGTGGCTGGTTGGGCTGTGGGAGCTGCTGATGGCAGCAGGGACAGATGAGGCACATGGAAAATGCGCACCCCGGTGGATATGCTGGGAACTTGCTCCCACAGGCCAACAGCCCCTTGGCAGAACCTGAGAGAGGGAAATCCTGGGGGAAAGCATTTCTCCATGTGTTTGCACAAACTGGAGCCCTGTGTGCTGCCATGGAGCTCGGGAAGAGGCAGAGCCAGGGATGCTGCTGGGTATGCTGGGTTAACACAGCCCTGGTGCCAGCTGGCTTTGGTGCATCTCCAGGCATCTCCAGGTGCCTTAACCTGCCCAAGGAAGGGAATTATTGAGTCAAGCAGGAGATCTGCCCTGGCAGCAGCCTGCCAGCACGCTCATTAATGTTTTCCTTCTCCTTTTGTTTCAGGGGGCAAAGGGGCTTAGCGCCTCTGAAACAAATGGAAAACGAAGACCGTGGCAAAACCAGCCCTTCCCACACCCCAAAGAGACCAGCCTGAGGAGAAAGCACAGCTGGGGAGGAAAAGCAAAGGGGAATCTGCAAATGGTGTCCAGCTCCTTCCCAGCTGGGGCAGTGGGGACCCAAGGCTGGCACAGGGACCCAGCCCCAGGGCTGCCCCACTTGGCTCCCTCTTTGCTCTGGGAATTGGAGCTGCTGCTTTTGCAGGATGGCGTCTGTGAGATGGGAGCTATAATTTACAGGATGGTAGAAAAGCATCACTCAGGACACCTCAGAGGCAGAAAGCCTCTTGCTGCAGTCTCCCAGCACTCCTGGCCCTCTCAATGCCCCCACAACATCTGAATATTCACCCCAAGACCCCCAGCTGAAATCTCCAGGCTTCTTTGAGTCAACTTCTGCCTCTGGGGTGTAATGTTATAAACCTCTTGAAGCTCTTGTCATGTCCTTGTTGCTTTTCTTCCATAACTGAGTGTTTCCTCCCAGCAAGTGGAAAGGGCTCTGATTTGCAGCAGCAAATCAGGAGGGTGAGGTTAATCTCCAGGTGAATAGGTTGGAGTTAATGGTTAAACATATTTGCCCAGGCTTTTCTTCTGAGAGAACTTACCCCAAACTCTCCTTACCCCCAGCTATGGCTGCTCCCTCCTGAAGCTGAGAGCTTCAGCACTACCTGCAGCAGCAGGAATGTCCCAGCAGGGAGGGGGTTCCAGGGGCTGTCTCCAGCCCAGAGGCTGCAGGCAGGCATGGGGGGTGGGAGCCCCTACACCCCAGGTTTTGGATACAGACCTTGGAGCAGCAGACTGGTTTGGGTTGTGAGTGACCTTTGAAGATGATCTGGTCCAGCTTCCCTGTCCATTAGACAAGGTTGCTGCAGGCCCTGTCCAACCTGGCCTTGAACACTTGCAGGATGGGCCAGCCACAGTACACTATTCCTTCCTTATGTCCAATATGAATGTCCTTCTTTCAGTTTAAAACTGTTGCCCCTTGTCCTTGCAGACCCTGGTACAAAGCCTTTTTCCATATTTTGAATAAGCCTCCTGATGTTTTGACAGGCCAGGTTGAGATCTCCCACTGTTGCATCTCTTTAGGATCATCCAGGCAACTCTAACAATGAGTTGTGAGCCTGGAGACCCCTTGAGATCCATCCCTGCGTTTAAAATGAATCTTGCTTGTACCAGGACACAGTTTTAGTATTTACCACATTTTCATATAATGTATCCAAAAGCCATGGTGTGCTTTAGAAGCCATTTCCCTGATTGCTGCCCCATGTTTTAATTAATGGAGATCCAGAGGGAATAGGCTGAAGGCATTGTGGACACCATGGGGTGGGTAAACAAGCCACAGATATGACACTGCACGGGTTTCCTGCCTTTCTGTAGTTCAGTTTGCACGTTTCCTATGAGCTTTGCTGTGGATATGTAAGTTTTGCTGTCAGGCAGACCTCAAAATAAACTGGTTTTCCAGCGAGCGGATGTGCTTCCTCCTCCTGTTTCTCTGGTGTGAGCCTGACCTGTCAGGATGGGTACCCCTGGGACATGGAGAGGGCTCCTCATGGCTCAGACTCCTCACTCTGCAGCTGCCTAAACCCAGTAACCTGCTGGGGGTTTTGCCCCAGAGGTGCTGGGAAGTGCTGTGGGATGTTCCTTGCCTGGGAGGGTGCTCAGAACAGGCAAGACATGGTGCTCAAGTGCTGTGATGTGAGCTCTGGGTTGGGCCTTGCAGACACAGGGCCCCCATTGGGCTGTGCTGGGCCAGAAATTCACAAAGGGGAAAAGGCTTTGGGCTCTTCCAGATTGCAAGGAGGGTGGAAACATGGCCTGGAGATGGGCCTGCATGTGCAGGGCAGCCAGCACTCATATGTGTGCAGAGGATTGTGGCTTTCACAGAACCGCAGCATGCTTTGGGTTGGCAGGGCCCTTAAAGCTGAACCACCCCCCTTTCTGTGGGTAGGGACATTTCCCACTAGATCAGGTTGCTCAAGACTTTTGTGGGTTTTTGGCTGTGCTTGGCAGAAAATGAGGAATTTTCTTCTTCCTTTTGCAAAGGGGCCCAAGGCACCTGTGCAGCCCATCTCAGGGGTGAGGCTGTTGAATCAGAGACAGAAAGAGAGACTCCAGTCTTCAGGTGGATCAGAAGGCCCCTTTAATGAAAGTTGTGAGTCTTTTATAATGTGACTCACTAAGGTGATCCTTGATTGGTCTAAAAGCAGAAACATCTCACACTGTTGGTGCACTATGAACAGCACACGGTGGAGAACCATAACTATAAACAGTGGTTACAGAAAGACAGATAATAATTGTTTTCATTCTTTTCCTCTACAATTCCCAGGCTCAGCCTGGGAGAAATTGTCTCTGTTCTTTCTTGGACTGAACTGAGAAACTCCACACAGGGGCAGCAGGGCTGCGCAGCTCTGGGCAGGCTGAGAGCTGCTCCAGCACTGCCCCACTGAGCAAACCTGGAGGACCAAGAAGGTCTTCCAAGGAAGGTCTTCCTGGAAACCAAGAAGGAGCAAACCTGGGACCTGCCCTGGCCTCTGGAGAACCTGCTGCTGTCCCCGTCCCTTCATCACCTCTGTCTCCCCATTCCTGTTTCAGTTCATGCAGCTCCTGGGGAGCAGGAGGAAACCCATCTCATCATGGAAGAGATGGAGGATGGCAAGATGAATGAAGAGATGACAGCCTGGGCTCACCAGGCTGAGCTGCAGGCAGATGCTCATTCCCTTCCCACCATACAGGAGGAGCCTCAGGAAGAAGAGACCAGGTAGGGGAAGGGAGAGGCTGTTGATGGACCAGGTGGTGGCCATGGGAGGGGACACGCCTGTCCCTGGGCATCCATCCTTGCAAGGGCTGGTGCTGGCAGCCAAAGTGTGTTTCCAAAAAGGGGGGATTCTCCAGCAGGATCCAAAAGGTGCTTGATCAAATATTTTTTCTCTTGGTGTCTCATTTTTTGTTAGTGCAGAGCCATGGGAGCAATGCTCACAAGTGCCCTGCAGAGGACAGGTGAGGGAGGCTCTGCTTGGGCTGCTGTGAGTAGAATCTGGCCCCAGGGCAAGAGGCTTTGGACCTTGTTCCAGCAGTCCTGCATGCAGCTGCAATGCCATTCAGAAATGGAAATTGTCTCTGTACAATTCACCCTTGTTTCTGCCATAGAAACCCTGCTGGGTGTGCCCAAGTGCTCAGCAGTGTGTTCAGAGCTGGGGGGCTTGAACTCATGAGCTTCTCCTTTCCAGAACCTGTTTGTGCTCCCCAAACACTGCCAAGAGGGATGAGGAAAAGGAGGAGGAGGAGAAGAAAGAGGAGGAGGAAGAGAGGAAGAAAGAGGAAGAGGAAAGGAAGAAAGAAGAAGAGGAGGAGAGGAAAAAAGAGGTAGAGGCGATGAAGCAAGAGGAGGAGGAGAGGAAAGAAGAGGAGGTGAAGCAAGAGGAGAGGAAAGAAGAGGAGGGGAAGCAAGAGGAGGAGGAGGAGAGGAAAGAAGAGGAGGTGAAGCAAGAGGAGGAGGACAGGAAAGAGGAGGAAGAAGAGAGGAAGCAAGAGGAGGAGGAGTTGAAGCAAGAGGAGGAGGAGGAGAGGAAAAAAGAGGAAGAGGAGTTGAAGCAAGAGGAGGAGGAGGAGAGGAAAAAAGAGGAAGAGGAGAGGAAGAAAGAGGAAGAGAACAGGAAAAATGAGGAAGAGGAGAGAAAGCAAGAGGAGGAGGAGATGAAGCAGGAGGAGGAAGACCGTAAAAAAGAGGAAGAGGAGAGGAAGAAAGAGAAGGAGGAGAACAGGGAAAATGAGGAAGAGGAGAGGAAGATAGAGGAGGTGGACAGGAAGAAAGAGGAAGAGGAGAGGAAGGAAGAGGAAGAGGAGAGGAAGATAGAGGAGGACAGAAAGGAAGAGGAAGAGGAGAGGAAGGAGGAGGTGAAGAAGAAAGAGGAGAAGAGGAAAAAGGAGGAGGTGAAGAAGAAAGAGGAAAAGAAGAAGAAAGAGAAGGAGAAGAAAAAAGAGAAGAAGAAAGAGGAAAAGGAGAAAGAAGAAGATAAAGAGGAGGAGCAGCAGGAGAGTGCAGAGTGAGTGGCTCCCATTGCCTTTAAGGCTTTGTTGGAAATGAGCATGATTGCAGCTTTTGTTTCAAGTGCGTTCTCCAGCTGGAGAGGCTGAAACAGCCATGGCAGAGCAGAGCTCCCAGCGTGGCGGGATGGGCAGGGATGGGTGTGCTGGGCAGGGATGGATGTGCTGGGGAGGGATGGCATGCAGGAGGGATGCATGAGGGATGGAAGGCAGAAGGGATGTAGGAGAGAGGGATGGCAGGAGAGAGGGATGACAGGAGAGAGGGATGGCAGGCAGGAGGGATGCTTTGGCCAGCCGGCTGCCCCAGGGCTCGCTGCTGACGCGGCACCTGGTGACAGGAGCGTCTCCTGTGACTCAGGCTCCGTCTCCATCGCGGCCGCCCGTGGCAACCGCAGCCCCTCCTGCGCCTTTGGAGGAGGGAGCTGCCGGCTCCGGAGATGGGCTGTGCTGTTTGAACCATGCCCATTAATTCAGGGCAACCGGGATTGTTTTGAGTGTTACAGAGCTGAATGTAAAGACAGGATTATGTGTTGACGCTGCTTCATACAAGTAGGTACAATTTTACATTTTTTCCTGTTGTAGAAAATCTTGTGGAAGGTGGTGACTTTGGTCTCGATGCTATTGGGAGACATCTTTCTGCTCAGATTAGCAGTTTGCTCTGATTTCACATGAGATAAACATTTAGAGATTTATTACCTAGCACTACAATATTATTCTGTGTTAATTCCTCTGAAGTAGCTAGATTTTCAGGAAGAAGCTGAAAACACATGATTACTCACTGTCAAGCCCATATGTTTGTATTTCATCAAAATCTGTTCCTGGAGCTTCACTGTAGAAACTTGAGCTTCAGTTGTGGGGTGAATGAGATGCTACTCCATCCTTCAATGTGTTTGTTTACTGGGAGAAGAGAGAGAGACCAACAGGTTTTCTAGTTTAGGATGGAAAGATTTGCGATCACATTTGAAGGGAGCATAATTTTAAATATGAAAGGGAGAAATTATTAAAAATAACAAAACAAATATTTTCATGCATTTAGCTGTCTTAAAATTCTCATTATGCCAAATCCATGCTTTGCATTTCTTGCCAGGAAAGAACAAATCAAGAGGTAAATGCACAGAGCAACATTTGAGGTGCTTTTACTTCAGTTATGAAGTTATATTAAAGCAACAAAATCAGTCTTGAGAGCCTCTTTGTCAGAATGGTGGAGCTGAGGCCTGTGCTTGCTCAGGAAGGAAAATGAGAATTATGTGTCCTGATGGTGTCTTGCACAGGCAAACATGGGATTTTAATAGTTCTTGTGGGAAAGCCTTGCCTGGAAATTAGATTTTGGCTTTTTATTTGTCTCATTTTAATTATATGAGAAATGATGCACAGGAGGAGAAACATTCTGCCTGGATCTTTCTGCCTCTGCAGTTTCTGCCCGTGCCCATGCAATGCCCTGATTTATTCGTCACCTCTCACCTGGTCTCCCAGGCAGTATTTCTTCTCTCCCTTGCAGGCCCCTGCTGCAGCCTCCTTGTCCCCCTGCTGATGAAGGTGTGGAAGAAGCCTGCCTTGCCCAGGAGGCCCCCGGGGCTGAGCAGCTGGAGGAAGTTGAGATAAGCAATCTGCAATGTGCCCCTGTGCAGGTACAGCACCGCTCCCTGCTCGGCTCCCTGCACTGAGCTCTGCTCTGCCCTGGGGCTCAGAGCTTCTCTGGGGGATGCAGTGCCCTGGCAGGGGCAGGCTGGGCTGGGCACAGGCCATGCTGCCCACCTGGGTGTCCCCATCCCTGAAGCTGGGCAGCAGAGCTGCTGTGGGTAAAGGGAAGGCTCCTCTCACCCTCCGGAGTGGGCACTGAACAGGCTGAGTCTGAGAGGAGGGACATGGGGCAGCCAGTCAAGTGCAAAGGCTGCTCTTTCACTTTTTCGGGGCTTTTTCTCCTTAAAATGCCTTTTATTTTTCATATTGAAGGTGGAAGAGGAGCCAGCTGAAGCTGCTGAAACTGATGCTGAAGGTACAAGGGGTATCGGGAGGGTGCCAGACTGGGATGGAGTAAGGCAGGAATGGGGGGAGAATCCAGCTTCTCCTCTCCTGCTGGCAGGGAGCAGGGGGCTGCCTTCTCTGCAGCCTGCAGGAGCAGTCAGGGCTGTTCACAGGGTAAAACATACTGTGGGCACTGCACAATGGCAATATTGGCATTGTCTGCAGCTAGCTCTGCATGTACAATGCTTAGTCCTGTTGATGCTGCAATCCCTGATGTGAAACAAGAGTTTCTCCTTCAGCTGGAGGATGTACAGGGATAAAAAAGTATTTTCTCTACCACTTTTCTCCCTTTGGAGAATAACCAGTGGCATAAAACAGATTTTAATATAATGTTTTAGGAAGCAATGGTTGGTAATGAAAATGGTTGGTAAGTTCCCATTGCAGCCTGACTGAGCAGAGGCACATCCTGGCAGAACTCCACAGGCATCAGGAAGATGCTCAGGGAATGGCTTGCCCTCACCCCTGAGATTCTCTGCATGCAGCCCTTGCAGAGGGGCAATGATGCTGGAAAATGCTGATTTGTCAGGAACTGTAGTGATAGGACAAGGAGTGATGGGTACAAAGTGAAAGAGGGGGAATTTAGGTTAGATTATTAGGAAGAAATTCTTCCCAGTGAGGGTGGTGAGATACTGGAATATGTTGCCCATGGAGATTGTGGATGCCCCAACCCTGGCAGTACTCAAGGCCAGGCTGGGTAAGACCTTGACCAACCTAGAGCAGCAGGAGATGTCCCTGCTCATGGGACACAACCTTTAATGTCCCTTCCACCCCTTAACCTTCCACGACTCCATGAAAAACATGAGCTGGGATGCCCAGCACTGCCACCAGCCCTGTGAGCAGCAGCAGCAGCCCCAAACCCGGGTCAGCCCCACATCCCTGTGTGCCACATCCCTCCCTTCTCACACAGCCAGCCCCACATCCCTGTGTGTCACATCCCTCCCATCTCACAGTAGTCAGCCCCACATCCCTCCCTTCTCACACAGCCAGCCCCACACCCCTCCCTTCTCACAGCCCTCTGTTCTGTTGCAGCTGCAGATGCCTTGTCCCTTGCTTGAAGCTCCCAGCAGCTGCTAGCAGCATGGCCAGGCGGGCCCAGGACGTCGAGCTCTTCCAGCTGGTGCATGACAAGCCCTGGGCTGGCAGGGCCCCCTCTCCTGCTGGCCACGGGACTCTAGAGCAGCTGCCCAATGTCCCCAGTGTCCCCAGCTGCCGAGCCCCTGCTGCCACCCCTGTCCTTGTCGCCAGCAAGCCAAAGGCTGGACTTGTCAACCCCAATTTTTGCACTGAGGAGCAACCCCCACTAGGTATTAGAGTTGTTGGTTTGATGCCTTGTGCAGCTAGAGGGGTGCAGGGGGGTTCCTGGAGTAGTTGCTTTTTTGTTGCTTTCTGAGGGAGGGGGGAATCATTTAAAAAAAATAAAAGCATGCTTCATGTTGCAGCACAGAGGCTGGGGAACAAACCCCACGTGTTTGTCTGCTTCTGCCTCATCACCATGTGCCTTTTTAGCCAAGTCTTGAGTGTGTCTGCAAATGCTGTGTGTTTAGAGCTGCTCAGAAAGGCTCTCCTGAAGGAGCTGCAGGCAGAGGGTGCAATTTCACCACACACAGTTTTCTCTCCAGCATTTGTGCAGCCTGCTCGTGCCTACAGGAGAGGAAGGCGGAGGTTTGCTGCTCATGGCTTTCTGCCTTTTCTGCAGCTTTGCTTTGCTTTGTTTTTCACCAGCAAGCCGAATTCTGCTGCTTTTCCTAACATGCCACAGGATTTTAACTCTGCCACCCAAACAGGCCTTTTCTCAGGCATTTCATCCAGCCACACTCTGATCCCCTAGCCTCACATCAGAGTGAAGCAGGAGAAGTTGCATGGGGTCTCTCAGATGTGTGAAAAGAAGAAATCCTGCAGGAATTAATTTTACTTTGTTGAATAGCTGAGGAAGACATTACACTTCACAGCCAAATGACTGTGGGGTCTGGCCAAGGTAGCCCCCAGTTCTCCTTTGGACCACTGGCATCTTTCTTTACCCACCACAAACATCCAACCTTCCTGCTTCTGACCTTGCCTGTGGCAGGGAGCAGTTATTACCTCTGCAGAAGAAAGAAGCCATAAATGTTTATTGTAATAGTGCCTTATTCTGCATGGAAAGCCAACACTGTGTGGTTCAGGGCTGTCACAATCCATGTGTTTACATTCAGAAGAACCAGGAGAATCTCTACACCCTGGGAGACAGGTTTGCCCCTGGAAATCCTGGGCTCCTGCATGGCACCTGCAGCTGGGAATCCTCATTTCCATGGTTTTCCAAACCACGGGAGCCCAACACTCAGATGGAGTAGCTGCAATCACTGCAAGCTGGGCAAGCAGAAGGGCAGCAGATGGCAGCTCTTAGACTGTTAAAACTGGGCAAAAAAAAAAAAAAAAAAAAAAAA